AAATTGACATTCATCACACAATACATCATACTTACAAATCGCATTCGAAGTCATGGGCAAGGAACGTAAATTTTTCGAAAGAAATTTCTTGAAAGAAATCGAAAATTTGGGGACAAATCGAAATTTTTTGAAATTTGGCCAAATTGATCAAAATTTCTCGAAATTTGGTCAAATTTAATCAAAATTTCGGCAAAATCATAAAAAATCACATAAAAATAATATTATTGGCCAGAAAAAAAAAAAGAATACAGTATTAATATTATTGGACGAGATCAAAATTTGCGCATATCAAACGAAATTTTTGCTTTAAATCGAAATAATTTTTGCGTGTCCCTGGTCATGATCTCGTGACAAATAGATGCTTCGTGACTTCGTTCACGGCATCTCAGGTCAAATTTCCACTTTTTTTTAGAACTATGATATTCTGCAGCGATTAAAGATAATTTCTGTGGTCGTCTGTACTTATGAGAAATTCGGCTGTCTTCCGTGAATCACTGAGAATCATCGGTCCTGATGCGGTGTCAAAGTGGAATACTTGCTTTTTAAATCACTTACCATTTGGTAAATTTGGTGCATATGTATGTGGATTATCTAGAATTAATAAAAAATTGTTATATACATGCATTTTATGTGGATTTTTTTGAACATTGTACGTACTCATGTTGTATCCTTTAAGAGATTCTATATATCTAAACCACGTAGTTCATTTTTATCCATAAGTTCATCATGTCTGCAAAAATAAATTTTTCTTGAAGCATCAAGTAAAAGCCTATTTTCAAAAAAAAAAAAAAAAATTGAAATCGTCGACCAATGCTTTAATGGGCTTTCTGTAAGATTAATTATCGATTAAATCCATATTAATAAAAGGATACTTTAACGTTAATATTTCTTGATTCGAAAAAATAGAAGGGGTCGGATCAAGAAATTACCCAAATCGACGTTACTTTTTAATAAAATACTTTCTAAAATTCGGTATTTTTTTTGTAAAACCATGGTATACACATTTATTTATTCCGTACGTACTGTAAAATTTTTTTCTTATATATTTCTTATTTTATATTTATAATATAGATTTAAATCCTAGATTAACAACCTATAACATATTTATCATATATAGTATATTATTTAACATCGAACGATCTCTATAATCATACTGTTGGAATTATAGGTATAGTCACAATAATTTCATAATAATTTCTTAGCCGCAAATAATACATAGTAATTTTTTTTTATAAAAACCGCAGAAAAACTTAATAGATCTAATTTTTTATAAATTTCTTATAAAAGAGGTGATCATAGAGAGGTTCGACTGTATTTTAATAGGTTAATAAGGATATTGATAATTTATACGTATAATTATACAATGCATATGCACATACCTATATAAATACAATTGTAGAGCTTATTGAATTCATTGGTCTTAGATAGAATGCTTAGTAACTGAAAAACTTAGTAACCGAATTTGTCAACAATTCGATATTTTTCTTAATTTTAATCTGAAATAAATTGATGATGTTAGTGTCAGTCACGTAATAAGCGATATACATTTTTGCAAGAAAAATTTTTAATCAGAGATTATAATGTTCATTCCTACTCAAAAGTCTTTGATCACCCATAGAATTTCCATTGGATTAGAAACAATGAAGATTTGTGGGTAAGCAATTATACTATAGTTTCTGATAAAAAATTTATCTGCATAGTCATGAAATATCTCCCGCGATGTTATTTCGAAAATCGGAGTTTAATTTAAGGGAGGCAATCTACTCTTTAAACCTTTAATTTTCGAAATAACTTCAGGACGTTATTTCGCGTCTATTTAATGACCCTGGAAATGATAAGAACTCGTGATATTTGTGATATCGATGGGATGCAGTTACAGGAAACTTGTAATTGCACATACAATTGTCGCTCCTCTAGGGCTCAATGCGTGTGACAGCAGGTTTAGCATCGGAATAGTAGAAAAGGTAGCTAATTTATTTCAATTAAAGATTAATCACTCTAGCCGTTATGCCGCAGCTATCCTGTTATACATATAAAGCTCTAAAAGAGTGAAATTGTGTGTATAATTCCAATTTTGAATGCAGGGATGGCGTCGATGTTATCTGCGTTACGTCACATCCTCGTAGTGATGCATTGTAGCATCATGAGTTTGGTAATTCCTGGCATTGATGGTGGTCTTTTGTGTCACAACTATTCGCAGATGTATTTTTCTAGTCCCTAAATCACATCCATCTATTCAGTAATAGGGAATATGATTTATAAAAACTTATTTCTTTATATGTCATTTTACACTTTGCAGAATTGAAAATTTTACAATATAGGATAGTTAAAATTTAAGAACAACATTTTCATCATGATAAAAACATGATTTTAAGTTTCAAGTATTCTAGTATTGTGAAATTCTGCAAAATGTAAATGACATATATAAAGAAATTCATAAATTGCTATACAGAAACTTAAATTTCTTAATGCGCAGTAACTGCATAGTAACCATTTAATTACGATTAAATTTAATAGCAGATAGTAATTATGTAATTACTACATCGTCACTATGCAGTTACTGCCTATTAAGATATTTAAGCTTCTGTAAAGTATGTTTTGATTACATTATGATATTTTCATAAAATTAATTGAATACTTATGTGATTATGAAAACATTAGGAACTAGAAAAATGCATGTCTAATCAGTTGAGAAGCAACCCTAATTCTCATAAAAAAAAAAGCAGAGATTTAGTTTGTTGCTTTTATTTATAATGCTTGTGCGCAGATAAAATCTCTAGAATATATATATTTCCAAGAATCAATATCAATACATTGTCAAAACACAAGCATTGTAAAACAGCCGGGGCACTTCAACTCAGTGATCATCACATCACGTGAAATCACGCAATGACGTCATTTGTTAACAAATTGGCCTAAACTAACTAACACTAAACCTAACTTAGGCCGAGTTCTTAATCACGTGATGAGATGATCATGGAAATATCACTGAGTTCGGTGCTATTGAAACTACCCAGACAGCCAAAAGGAATGATTAAAGCTCTGCTTTTTGGAAGAATAAATTCATACTGTATATTTCTGTACCTTAGTTTCTTTTTCTTAAAATATATTCATCTTTTTCCAAAAACTTGGCTAGCAGATCTTTAAAATTTTCCGATGATGTATCATCTAAATTTTCAAGTCTCTTAATCCATTCATTAACATCTACTTCATTTTTATAATCGCATTTTAATTTGTTGTTAGATCTGTTCTTTGATGCATTATCCTTGCAGATATGAAGGATATTTGGCAATGCGATTTCAAAGAAGGGTTGAATTATGTCTGCCTCGCGAGATTTGGTCAAATATTGCAAGTGCTGGATTCTAAATGGTACCTTTTCATTACAATAATCACGATACAAAGAAAGAATAGCTTTAAAAGTGGATTCCTTCATGTCTCCAGGAATATCTTGCCCAGGGTTTTGTTGAAGATACAAATCTGCACAAACACGAGATTCAAGAATATCATCAAAACACACTTTGGTTATTTCTGAACATGGACCAAATATTTCAATAACCCATCTGTAGAATATGGGGGATAATTTAAGGAATCTATATTTAACTGGATTTTCTAATTCATGAAGATCAACTTTATGCATAACCAAGATTTTCATTATAGTATCTTCTTTATTGTTTTGATGAACCTTTGAATATAAAAAGTGTAATACATCTTGTTTTTTCATATTTTTTTCTGGTTTAATGATATCTCCAAGGCAATTACTTGCAATTATTGCACTAGATTCATTCCGTACATTTTCAAATGATTCCATTAATGAATCACCAATAATTTCAAGCCGATTTTCAAAGAGGTGAAATGCATCGGCCATTACTGTAACTGTTAGTTTAAATCCAAGATCTGTAAGTTCTTTAAGCCTCAATGTTACTGTATCTACACTTGGGCAAACCCAATTATCAGTTTTTGTTGGTGGAAATAAGATTAAAAGTCCACCTTGCATCACAAGATCATTAACATCATCACATATATCCATGTATCCAATATCTTTCCACATATTTACCAATGGCGGATGAATCAGAATGGCACGTGCAATAACATTTAACTGTCTATTATTCTCATATCCATCTTTGGGCGGATATTCTTCATTTGTATGTGATTGATGCGAGTATTTATTTGTATCTTCATACTTTATTTTAGGCCTTGGAGGAAAAGGAAAAAATTTCTTAATTCTAATAAGGTCCTCTATCAACTTTAGATTACTTTTCAATTTTGCTGATGCTAGATTAATCACTAAAGGTCCTGCAGACAGAAAATGAAAAAGCTCCATATCGTTTCCCTTTGCAACAATTTCTTGTGCACCATATTTCGCGTAACCCTCATTCAAAATATATGTAAACACTGCAAGAGGAAGATTGCTTGCCCACGGACATCCGATCGACTTTTGAAATGCACGGACACGTTCGATGTCAATGGTTCTTACATTATATTTAATTTTAAGTTCCACGAGTTGTTGATCATAACTTCCATAATGTATTAAAAGGCGTTGTATAAAATAACGAGACATAGTTGCACCTTGAGCTAACAAGCATTTTATTACATCAACAGTCACAAAGGATGGCCCAATTCTTATAGCATGAAAAATAGAGTGAGATATTCCATATTGTGTAATTAGCCATGCGGCACGTGTGCACGGATCCCTGAAATAGTGAGATTTAAAATACTTGATTAAAACAAACTCTTAACAGTTTTTTTGTTTAGTATAAAGGGTAGATAAACTAGTAATTGATGCGAATTTGCCCATATCGGATATATGAACCTGCAAAATTAGTTACATGACAGGATTTAACATAACATTTGTATATCTTAATTAGTATTGGAAGGCTAGTATATTATTAATTAATTATATATTCTTAACCTAACCAAGATATTGACTTGTCAACAAAAAATTAATCTCCCAATGTTCTGCAAACTTTGAACAAGGTATCAAAATCCAAAGATATTCCGAAATTTGTAGTTTGTTGATTTCAAAATATCTTTATAAATTGAACCTTGTTAGGTATTTGTTGAAAATAAAATCACTGTATATTTCTGAAATTAAACATCCCTAAAAATAAGCACCCGCGCATTCGAAAATAAGCACATATTCTATGTTAGATTAATCATTGTAATTCCATTATGCCTACCATACCTTAGGCACATGCCCTAACTTTGCTGAAATTCCGTATTTAGGTTTTGACCTGAAACAACTTTATTCTGGCGCACACAACACGCAGCATATCTAAACAAAAAGCATATAATGGTTGAGATAGCATTAAAAGATAAGCACCTCTATAATAAAAAGGGATGCCTAATTTCAGAAGTATACAGATGATTATTAAAAATTTACATTTCAAAAAAGTACCCGACTAATTTCGATGTTTGTGGATATTTTTAATTCTCAAGTGGGTACCCAGCTTAATAATTAATAAGGTTAGTGCTAAGGATATATTCTTGAGCCATTTAAGAATCTCAAAGCTGACCAACTCGATTCTGAATCAAATTTATAAAGTTATTTTTTTATATAGTAAAATCTTCAAGAAAAGCTTTTTATTAGTACACAAAGGACGGTTTCTTGGGCAAGTTTTTGATATTTTCAAAACGGATGCTTGATTTTTTTAATTTTTCTGGTCGTGTTATGAGGTATCAAATTGTGATTCATCGTTGACGGACGGAGCGTGATAAATATCATGAAGTTTATTCTGTTGGTGGCCAATCATTTAATACGACAGAACGAATTTTGTGTCGCATGATCCGATATCGATGTTATTGTATCATACTTTTACAAGTCGTGATTGGCTAACTGAGTTTTAAATGCGCGATTGTTGTGCTTATGTAATAACATACAAAAGAAAAAATCCAATCCTAAGTATTTGCATGAAGAAGTCTGGTTGGCTGCGTATGATCACGCGAAATTGCAAAAATCTATCCTAACGTTGCATAACATTCATTTTTGATACTCCTACGCCTGCTTTTTCAATACGTCTAAATGTACTCTAAATTTCTTATACTTTCTGATAGCAAAATATATAATAATCAATTGTGTATGTCTAGTGATAGGCAACGCGCGTGATCTGCGCGGGATACAATGCTATTAGTAGGCCGAAATATTCCGATAAATTTTGATCGCCACTCCGCAATATTCCGAAAACTATCCTGTGAACCACGTGCGGGATTTTTAACTCGCAATTTGCCCATCACTATATATGAGTACCGTCAAAGGAAAACCTGACATCGGACTTTCAATTATACTTTGTGTACAGTTAGTCGTCTATGGAAAATCTATCATAATGATAGATTTCCCATAGACGGCTGACTGTACACAAAAGTATAATTGAAAACCCGATGACAGGTTTTCCTTTGACGGCACTCAAAACACATAAACACATATGCCATGCCCCAGATTGGAATCGTCCCGATTCAGAATCGGGCTGCCCTGGATGGGAATCTTGTGGATTATATTGGCAGAATTAAGACTTTAAGGTTAGTATTTAGAGTTAGAATTAGGGTTTATAATAATTTTTTTATAATTTTGTTAGTATAATTCGGACCAAAATTACAAAATTCTCATCCGGGACTCCCGATTATGAATCGGGACAGATTCCATTTCGAGGACAACATATCAAATAATTACGCACATATATTCGTACAGTCAGACCTCACTAAGTGCACGCCTTGGAACCACACTTTAATAACGTAAAAGTGCATTTATAGAGGTCGAGTATATATTTGGGCCAGCACTTGAGCGTGCATTTAGAGAGGGTGTGCACTTATAGGGGTGCACTTAGAGAGGTCCGACTGTATATTAATTAAAGTAAAAACGGTATCAAAAAAATATAGAAAATTTAGGGTACATTTAGATGTATCAAAAAGTAGGTAAAGAAGCATCAAAAATGTGGTTTTGCTTAACCGCTAACTAACACATCTACCTAACTTCTAACCAAAAAAGTGAGTTCTACTAAATATTACATAAGCCAGTAGGTATTTGTAGCAGACGATTTTTGATTTTTTTTGCAGTGGCTAAGTTCAAATTCTGCGGTTATTATTATAATCTCCGCGATAATCTGCAAATTAATAAAATTTCTATTTCTGCGCAAAGTTTGTTTTAGCTACTAATGTACCAAACTTCTCGACAACCATGCTCGTGTTTTGTGTAAATTGATTTTTTGTCTATCCTTTAGAAAATCTCGACCAAATCTTGTACAATTTGATTGATTGTTTGATATGGTTCTGTATTATCAACGACTCTAATTCCTGCAAAAATACGAATTCTTCGGTGACTGTATTTTGCAGAAAATTGTCGCTCCTGTTTCGTGTGCGTAGGGTTCGTTGTAGGATGGATGGATTTTAGTAATGTCTTTCACATGAATTGCATAAGAGAAGCTACACACGAACAAATCTAATCGTTAACTATTTTACCACGTGTATGTATTTGTTTTGTAACTTGCGGCCGGTCTATGGGCGCTGAATCTACGGACAGTTCTTACGACAGTAAGGACTATGTAATCTATTGAATTAACTGTCTCTAACAAGTTATCATGTGATTTTGAAATTCCTTAAGGCAAAACATACATTTTTGATGCTTCTGTACCTTTTTTTTGATAAATCGAAATGTACTCTAAATTTTCTATACTTTTTTGATACCGTGTTTTTACTTCAATTAATATACGAATATATGTGCTTACTTATTTGATATGTATGTATATAGTACAAATTTACTATATATCATGTGATTATTATATTTTTGCTATCAAAAAAGTATAAAAATTTTATGGTACATTTAGATGTATAAAAAATAGGATAGGCTTAGGAGTATTAAAATGAATGTTTTGCGTCCCTGAGAGTTCCGTATATTGTCCGGTCTGCGAGCACGTATCAGATCACGTGAATTTGCACATACCGAATATCATGCGTTATTTAACGTACGTATCGAAATAGAATTTCTTAATTTTGGACATATTTTGCGACAACTATTCGATGAAATTTTTTATCAAGTTGTTGTCGAGAAATTTTCATTCAAAGTTTTGAGAAATTTCTACCGCCTTGAAAATAACTACTGCAGAAATTTTCTAAGCTTTGAACGAAAATTTCCCGACAACTGCTTAACATTATTCGTTGAAAATTTTTTAAATGAATTCTACTATTTTATAGAAAAGAATTCTATCATTGTCAAAGATTTTCGTTCTAAGTTTAGAAAATTTCTGTCGCGTTATTTTCTTAGGAGGCAGTAGAAATTTTCCCACACTTTGAACGAATAATTATTCGATAAAATATTTTTTAAAATGAATTACTAATTTAGAATTTATTTAAAAAAATTTTCCATCGAGAAATTTTCATTCAAAGTTTAGAAAAATTCCGGCAGAGGCTATTTTCTTAGGAGGCGGTGGAAAATTTACCAAACTTTGAATGAAAATTTCTCAATAGAATTCGGTGAAAACCCTTTTTAAATGAATTCTGCTAATTTATTTAAAAATTCCATCGAATTCTATCGAATATTTGTCAAGAAATTTTCTACATCGATACGTACGTCAAATATCACGTGATATCGAGTGCGTGAAAATCACACGATTTTGTATATTCCGCGTTATTCTTGCGCAGCAACAAATATGCTTAAAGTGATTAAAGAACACTGAATTACCAAAACCCGCCTATCCTAAGCATTCGTAAATATTTGAAATATAAACACCAGCCCTAACATAAGCGAACTTTAAAGAATTTTGTACAACATCTGTGATAGAATTTTGGTTAATATTTTTTGATTTTTTTGCAAGACGATTAATAAACATATTGAAAATGTAGTACATACCAAAATTTTGCTTTGTAAGGTTACCAAGAATCAACAATAAACATTTGTCATTCTTTTTTCCTTGCCATGCTTAGAATACTAATATAGGAAGGTAGCAACAGCCAGGGAGAAAAATTCAAAGTCAAAATTTAGTGCACGTTGCGCACCAAATTTTAGACTTGTATGCGCAAAGTTTGCTACAGCAGAACAGGGTTAACTATATTGCGCACATTATTTTAAAATAATTATTAAAAAATTACGTGCGCTTTGCGCACAATATTATATATTTTTTGTGCGCAAAAAAATTTCATGTGCGGACCGCACAAGCGCACATCAAATTTTTCTCCCTGGCAACAGCTGATTGGTATCAGGGATGCACCATTGAGTTATAAATAAAATTATAACCCTAAACCAACCTCAAATACCAACATTTAATATTTGGACACCATAAAGTATACTATATTACTAATTAACTTTTTCTACCCTAATTTTGACTTCCAATCTAATGCAATTTGTGAAGCCCCCATAATATATTTTATATATCCATTTTGAGAAAATTTTGAAATCGTACCTTGAAATCTTATTTAACAGCTGACACGTCAACAAAAGATTTAAAGGAAAATGAATATGCTGAAAGATTTCGACGATAATTTCATTCGCTAACCTATTTAACATAATCATATGTGATTCTTAGCATATTCACTTTCAAAAATTCCGATTTCGCATCATATTTATAGATTGCTAATAAAATTATTAATTAAATAAAATGTTGTAACATGCATGTGAACAAACAGCTAGATTAATTTTAAATGCCTGTTTTATTAGGTACACATATAAACAATAAAGCTTTTAAATTTTCACAAAAAAAATATAAATAAAACGAATAAAAATAAAAAACATGGAAAGAATAAAAAGAAAAGATAAGTATCTTCGTTCAATCATTAATTTCAATTTATACACTATACTTCGTAAGTCGTTGGTCTATGACTTTTATTATTTGAATAATTTGGACTTTTCATAAACTTTTCAAAATTTTGAAGAAAGCTTTGTTTATAGTTTTTAAATACGTTTCTTGCGCAATTTTTGTAAGACATTCGTACTGCTGAACTGGAAAAAGAAACCAAAATAATGGCATAATTAGGAAGGACTTGATTTTTAATGACACCTATATATTTTCTTTAAGTTATTTAAGGAAAGATAATATGTGAAATCATAAACAACTTTCTGCGAGCTTATTTATTGTTTTTGTACAATATATATAATAATAATAAATATATTTTTAACGATATGAAATGCCTTAAATGGTCTAATTTCGTGTCGCCAACTCGGTAGAAATAACTGAATTATTTCCTTTTCCCTTTGTCTTTTTTTTTTTTTCTTATCATTTGACGAAAACAAAGAAAAAAACAAAGAAAAACATAGCCTACACAAAAAAAAACAACCATGATCCCGTGCTTCTTGGTAATGTTTGGAGGACGTGTTTAGAACCTTTTTATTTGAACGTTATGATAATCCGAATTTTAACTTTAGTTTCTGATAAATTCGGACATTCGAATTTCCGGTAATAAATTAAATTTTAATTCTAGTTTGTGTTTTTATCATAACAATAGAGATAAATCGATAGTAAAAGTTATGCAGCTTATTAAATTATCTATCAGAATTGGTCACAGACTCCATTTATCTGAATAGATAACGAATATCACTATTTTTATGCGAAAATTATAGAAGCTGTAACGTAAACACAGGCACATTTTAATACACTCGTTTTGGAGTGTATTTCATCATATAATGAACGATCTTTATTGGCATTTCAAGTATTGACTAAAGATACGCTGTGCATGCATTTGTTGACGTGTCGTATTGTATAAATGAGTGCGTTAGAGTGAAAACCTGCAACTGCATATAATGATTTACTATGATAAGCTTCAGGTTTTCACTCTCACGCACTCAAATATAAGAAGCAATATTAACGTACCAATATTCTGTCATAACAAGTAATACGAGTAGTACCAAGAGAGAACAAGAAACTTTAGCTTGGCAACGAACGCTTGGAAATATACAAAATCACCCGATCCTTGACTTTTATTTGTGTATCCTATAGCGTCTTAATTAAATAAAATAAAATGTTAGAATTTAGCTTTATTTTCTTTTATTATAATTTTGCACAAAATAAATATTATTAAATTCGTGTATTATTATTCATTATATTAGTTGCAGATATAAAGAAAATTCTGTGTCACAACTGCAAAATAATAATTCATTGTCTAGCAATGACAATTTACGTACTTTCGCTCCATGCCTAAAAAGTATATATTTATTATAGAACTTGATTAAACGATTTCTCGTGATTTAGTGTCCTATTTTTCCTCCATCCAAATATTTACATCATACCATGCTGTTGGATGTTATGGATGTTCGCGGCAATTTATATATTTTAAGTAACGGTAAACCAGCTTTAACCGGTTTTTACATAAACCTTTTAGCCTTAAAGGATCTGCAAAACACAGGTCTTAAGTTCCACAGATCTACTTCGGGCGTTCCAAAATTCACCTGGGGTGGCTTCAGATATCGATATACTACTCCATTAATTAATGGTTTTATTCTAATGCTGTTCAAGATGGGCAGGCCCATGAGCTCGGAATGAGCCTACCCAAATTTAAAGTGCACATAAAACCTGTAAAGTCTGCAATGCTTTAAATCTTAATAGGCCTATTTTGGGCTCATGGACCGGCTCACGTGGAACTTTAATTTTAAAACAAGATCCTTTACAGTGACCGTAGACAGTATTAAGGAATCAAATACTAATTAAGTGAAACGAACTGTTAGATATTCGGAGCTAAAATTTTAATGTCAGAATAAAATTACAGTATATTAAAAATTCAATGCCAAGTAAATATATTGGTTAGTATTAGTCTAAAATAGTCACGAATATAAATACACAAAGTCTGGTCTATTACCTCATTCTATTTTCGATACGATCTGGTAATTAACCTTCACAATAATATTAGAGTTATTGAACTATAGAAAACATTAAATGTAGAGAACATTAGTATATATAGAAATATTCTCAATCCTTAAAAACATGTGTTCTATTACATAGGAATAGGTTAATGCTATGTATGTTTTATTATTTACCTGGATCCAGTCCGATGAGACAAAAAAAAGTAAAAAACACGAAAAACCAATGTCTAAACCTATCTCAAGGCATTAATATAAAATGACAGGGTGGTAATCTTACCTATAATACTTTCCTTAATATTAACATTAAACTAAACTAATTAATATTTAAGACTACACGACCCGCATCGGGCTTTAACCAACTCTCTTAAATAGTGATTTGCATCATATAGTTTCGAAAATAAGAATAAAAGCAGCCGAAACTAATTCTATACTAATAATCACATTGTTAGATAGCGATGCAACGCACTTGCGATTACAAATCTTCTAATACTGTAATACTGATAATATATCATATACGTATATAATATGGATCTGCAAATACCGTGCATATTGAGCAGACACACACGTAAAGTTCCTTGCACTCTTGCGTCAAGCACTTTGTTCTCTAATAATTTAGACCAAGCTGATGCACATATGTACAAAGTATCCAACTCGTGTCTGTGCATACAAAAGTGCCAGCAATTTTAGGGCAGAGCTTCACATTCGTGTCCGTACCTATCTACAGCTGTGCACACCTAAAATAAAACCTGTTTTTTGAATGTATATGTAGTTAAACCTCTAAGTAACACAGGAAACTCAAGACTGCCACGGACTAAAATGACGTTCGGAGGCTTGGATGGCACATGAGGTTTGTCGGCTGAGCAGTAAATCGCAGTGAAGTAGACTAGTAATGGCAGGAAAATGTCGAGATAATGCGATCAATGATATATATGGAGCTATCTGAGCGGGCAACAAAATATGTGATACAATAATCACAACTCAACTTTAACACCCGAAATATGTTAAGGAAAAACAAAATTCTATCAGACTTTTTGAGAGGTCGGAAATGATCACCAATCATGTGATCTCGACATTTTTCGAAGTACGTAAGAGGCTTATTATAACCGCAGATCTCTCTATTAGTGTGTTAAAGTTATTTAAAAGATGTAACTTAGGCGTGGTTGATTACAACGCTTATGTGCGAGGTAGAGGAACAGAAGAATACTTACCCATGATAATTCCTTTAATTATGTTCAAATCATCATAGTCACGCCTCTAGTGAAAACCTAAAAATAAGGTATATTTTTCAGTTGTAAGTCACGCATGATTAGACACGCTCCTACCTACGACAAGCCTTCAAAGCTTGAAATTTATACTCCCATGCATAAATTTATGCAAATATGTAGCGACTGTCCAATACGTATAATTTCAGTATATATTGTTAAAACAATTGAGACCTAGTTTTTTATAAAGATTATGTTTTCATGTGATTTAAGAACTGAGTTTCGAGTTCTTTCAATGACTCGGTCCCAAGGAACCACCATTCATTACGTAGTTTTTTGAAGGGGAGGGCAAGCAGTCTACCGTGCCTATATATTGTATACTTGGCTGCTGATTTTATTATTTGAAGGTCTGGTCTTTTAATAAAAGAGATTTACGTAATAAATAGCGTACCCTAAAGGATCATTAAGTACAAAGTAAATATATGAACAGTGTACTATACATACTGTAAGCTAAATTTTACCGTATGAAATAGTACAACACAAGTTCCTAAAATTTTTTAAAATTTTCAAAATATTCAGTAAAATACGGAAGACTACGCCAGCCACGTACACTGTAGTACTGCACGCAAAAAATCCAGGTACGCATCATTATCAGAGCTGCTAGGGTTGTTGATGGTAACTTACCACAGGAAGTTACCATATTAAGTTTTCCACGAATTCTTGTGGTAAGTTACTATAGTGGCTTTCCATGAATTTTTGGTGGTAAGTTATCATAATAAGTTTCCATGAATTTGGTGGTAAGTCACCAAATGCCGGTTTGGAAAGTCTAGCCATTATCAGGAATTCTGGATAGTAGATAAAATCGAATAATTATGATATTAATGCTGCGCATTAGATGCAGATTAAATGACTATAATTTTGTAAATATTACCTACCATTACCCTGGGTAGAATGAACAATGTAATAATTTATGTAACGAGTGTTTAAAGTTTATTGAGACTTTTGAATGGTATAATCTCCAATGTAATGTTAGGCATATTACGTATAAGGAAGATAATGTATTATAGGGTATCGCGATTCATTTATAATCGGATAATTCTTATACCGTTCTCAGTTAAGAAAGTCGAATGGTGCAAAATTTTCCGATTCTAGTCACTGGATCGCAGATGTCACAGATTTTTTTTGCACGGTGAGTAATCAGAAGCACAAAAATCATTTTAATCAATAGGTCACAAGATATTTCCGACTCACTAATTTATCACCTTACCCACGCTTAAATAAGCATTCTCTTCTTAAAATATGATTTCAAGTAAAGGTATCTCGTGATCTAGTTAATCTTCGATTTGTCACAACCAAATGGGCACAAAAAATTTTTCAATATGCGACATCATATTCACTTTGGCAACAATACCTATTTATCATATATCAAAAATTGTAAATTTCTAGCCTTTAGTTTTCTGATTTAAATTAGACCAGATACAGTTTTATTTAACACATGGCATTAGTAAAAAAAAACACTTCCTTTAATTAAACTAAATATTCTACAATAAATGATACAGTAATAATTATCGAACTTACCTAGCTACACACATAGTGAAATTGATTATTGACCGAAGTACTGTGGTTATTCAAAAAAATATACAGTACAGATTCAACGGATTGAGTCATTAAAGGATATTTCGGCTGAATCTTCCGTTATTTCGATTAAATCTCACCGACCAAACCCATTGCATCATTCACAAATTACAGAGTAAGAAAATTACTTGCAGGAATGGTAATAGAATAAATCTATGTGTGCATTAAGTTTTATTATAAAGGTATTTGAGTAAGTCCATTTTGAATAAATTGCCAGATTTCAAAAATAAAATAAGATAAAAATAACAAATATATATATAGCATTAGCATCCAGATAGCAGCTTGTAACTTAATTTACCTATAAAACGACCTTCTCATCCTACAACATTCTCAATATGCGGTATTTGGTTGATTTTTTATTAATTTTCCTGAAGTGATCAATGACTGTTGAAGAGTCTGATAAACCATCAACTAAACGACCTGATTATGGTTAATAATCTTAAAACGTTCAAGAGAGAACTCCGAGTAATTCTAATAAGGTTACATATGAATAATGGTAATATTGTCAGGTTCTGCAAACCTGATTGGATAAAAAATCTTTAGTTAATTAAAACACAAGAAAACTGGATAATGAAGAAATTCTAATATAACCTCTATTATTGGAGGTCCTTCCAAAGAAGGCGTGGATTTGGTAGAGCCAGGTATACAGGATATGATCTCATTTTTATTTCATATGCAATATTAGTATTTGCACTTAAGTCTCTGCTCGAAAATTTTTTTAAAGTTATAGCATCTAATGGATCGTAAAAACTAAAGAAATTACAAAACTTCAATGAAATAGTAGCAAGAAAAAAAAAAGAATGAAAGGGAAGAATGACAAGCATATAATCTTAAAAGAATCGCCTAAAGATGTACCCAGTCACACAACTTTATTAAAATTATGTTCAAAGTCGGCTTGAAGTTAGATTAGCATGTTATAGGCAACACCTCCTTGACATTTTGATTGGTTCAAGATAAGTTTAAATCAACATCTCACATTATTTATCTTTTCACCTTTTTGTTTCGGTAGTCACATATTCTGGTAAGCCTGGACCAAAAAGGATATCCTTCTTTTAATTGGTCTTCTGTATTGCATAGGAACTATATTCCGAGATTAACCGATAAATCCACTATGAATTCCGAATCTACCCTAATCTATTCAAGATATCACATAAGAAGTATACATTAGGCAAAGCTAATGGTCACATTTTAATAATATTTACATTCAGCCACTAACTGGGTTTGGCAAGCAATAGAAACTTTTCTAAGTATGAAAAGTCATTCGTAGGTGGTTATATGGTTCAAGATCTCGAGACGAATATGTTTATAAACGACACAGTTAGACTACACAGTCTGAACTATACAGTCTCGTGATATAGTAACTTTGGATAAGTTAGCTTTATGTCTCGCCTGTATCTAAGATATTTATGATGATTTGACTGGACGATTATTGTATATGTTATACTGAAGTATAAGTATATACAGATACATCGAAAGCAAAGTGACGAATACGTACGTACGTAACTCTGTTTCGCTCCGGGCAAATTTAAAGTTAGCATTAGCGCATCTCCCTTTAGGATTGACGATAAAATAGACATTGGGTAAGTTCAATCCTGTTCCAACAAATAATCTTGATATCGGACTTTTACTGGTGAGGCTGACGCAAATTTTCAAATAAATTACGTATACAATCGCCATTCTCTCAGCGCTCGGGATAGTGATTCATTATAACTAAGTTTATAACACAAGGTAACAGTGATGGCGGCAGAATAGTAAGAACCTAATTGGAATTTCTGGAAATCCTAATTAATACATTTGTTACCTTGACACTATCAACACAAGAATTGCATCATTCAGGCACCACAAGTGGAGTTCTGATTAAAATTTTATAGCTATGCACGTGACTTAATTGCAAAGGTATCTTACCCTACAAAAAAGTTTCAGTTTCATTTGTATGTTCAGAATAGAAGTTTATATACAATTATCGATACAAAAAT